CAAACTCGTTTTATGTGTTAACAAAAGCTGATTATCAGAAGTAATTTCTTCCTTCCGTTAAAGGCTACTGAATGACGGCGTGCGATGCGAAATAGGTATATAATATAGGGAACAAAAATCTTAAACATTGATCGATTGTTGATATTTAAGATTTATTTTAACATTTGAATCGACATAGATATGAATTAATTGAATCGTAAGATTTGAATCGTAAATCATAAGGTTTTATGCCCGGTATTGCGAATTTTCGTAAATGTAGCGGATATTTTGGATATTGAAAGAGAGATCCACTTTGTGGTCAAATTTGCAATTTGGGTGGAGCGGATAGGAAGATGGAGTAAGTATAATTGTGATTCTGCAATTTTCAGAACTATTTGAGCCACGGATGTGGATTTTTTGAAAGTACAAATTGACCTCCACTTGGGGGCATTTCCGGTTTACGGACCAAAATTAAAAATGGTGTATAATATAGGGACAAAAATGTAATTATCACAAGTTTATTATAAATAATATAATAAATTAATTTTTTCATAAATCGTAAATCGTAAAATTTAATCGATTTGTTGATATTTAAGATTTATTTTAACATTTTAATTGACTTAGGTATGAACGAATTGAATCGTAAGATTTAAATCATATATCATAAGGTTTTATGCTCGGTATTGCGAATTCTCGTAAATGTGGCGGGTATTTTGGATATTGAAAGAGAGATCAACTTTGGGGTCAAATTTGCAATTTGGATGTAGTGAGTAGGAATATGGAGTAAGTATAGGGGTGATTCTGCAATTTTCAGAACTGTTTGAGCCAGGGAGGTGGATTTTCTGAAATTACAAATTAACCTCCACTTGGGGGCATTTCCGATTAAGGACCAAAATTCGAAATGGTATATAATATAGCGACAAAAACTGTAATTATCACAAGTTTATTATAAATAATATAATAAATTAAAGTTTTCCTAAATCGTAAAATTTGATCGATTTGTTGAAATTTAAGACTTATTTTAACTTTTGAATCGACTTAGGTATGAACGAATTGAATCGTAAGATTTGAATCGTAAATCATATGATTTTATACTCGGTATTGCGAATTTTCGTAAATGAGTCACATACGATTATAACTGAGGAGGAGTTGAAGCACACTGCGTTGGTGGCGGATATTTCTGATATTGCAAGAGAGATCCGATTTGGGGTCAAATTTGCAATTTGGGTAGTGCGGCTGGGAATATGGAGTAAGTATAGGGGTGGTTCTGCAATTTTCAAAACTGTTTCAACCAGGGAGGTGGATTTCCAGAAATTACAAATTGACCCCACTTGGGGGCATTTCCGGTTTAAGGACTAAATTAAAAAATGGTATATTATTAAATTAAAATGGTATATAATATAGAGACAAAAACTGTAATTATCACAAGTTTATTATAAATAATATAATAAATTAAAGTTTTCCTAAATCGTAAATCGTAAAATTTGTTGATATTTAAGATTTATTTGAACTTTTGAATCGACTTGGTATGAATGAATTGAACTGTAAGATTTGAATCGTAAATCATAAGATTTTAAACTCGGTATTGCGAATTTTCGTAAATGAGTCACACACGATTATAGCTGAGGAGTCGAAGCATACTGCGTTGGTGGCGGATGTTTCGAATATTGCAAGAGAGATCCACTTTGGGGTTAAATTTACAATTTGGGTAGCGCGGGTGGGAAGATAGAGTAAGTACATGGGTGATTCTGCAATTTTCAAAACTGTGTCAATCAACGAGGTGGATTTGTTGTCTTAAATATCAACAAATCGATCAAATTTTACGATTTATGATTTAGGAAAACTTTAATTTATTATATTATTTATGATAAACTTGTGATAATAAATGTGGCGAGTATTTTGGATATTGAAAGAGAGATCCACTTTGGGGTGAAATTTGCAATTTGGGTGGAGCGGTTAGGAAGATTGAGTAAGTATACGGGTGATTCTGCAATTTTCAGAACTGCTTGAGCTACGGAGGTGGATTTTCGGAAATTACCAATTGACCTCCACTTGGGGCATTTCCGGTTTAAGGACCAAAACTAAAAAAGGATATAATATAGGGACCAAAATAGTAATTATAACACGTTAATTATAAGTAATATAATAAATTATTGTTTTATTAAATCGTAAATCTTAAAATTTGATCGTTTTGTCGATATTTAGGATTTAGTTTAACATTTGAATCGATTTAGGTATGAATAATTGAATCGTAAGATTCGAATCGTAAATCATAAGACTTTAAACTCGATATTGCGAATTTTCGTAAATGAGTTACACGCAATTATAGTTGAGGAGTCGAAGCATACTACGTTGGTGGCGGATATTTCGGATATTGCAAGAGAGATCCACTTTGGTGTTAAATTTGCTATTAGGGTGGAACGGTTGGGAAGATGGAGTAAGTATAGTGATGATTATGCAATTTTCAAAACTGTTTCAGTCAAGGAAGTGGATTTCCAAAAATTACAAATTGACCCCCCACTTGGGGTGCATTCCTTGTTTAAGGACAAATTTTTTTTTATGTAATATAGGGACCAAAAACTGTAAAATTTGATCGATTAGTTTATATTTAAGATTTATTTTAATATTTGAATCGACATAGATATGAATGAATTGAACTGTGAGATTTGAATCATGAATCATAAGGTTTTATGCTCGGTATTGCGAATTCTCGTAAATGTGGCGGATATTTTGGATATTGGGGTCAAATTTGCAATTTGGGTGGAGCGGTTAGGAAGATGGAGTAAGTATAAGGGTGATTCTGTAATTTTCAAAACTGTTTGAGCCAGGGAGGTGGATTTTGGAAATTACAAATTGACCTCCACTTGGTGGGGCATTTCCGGTTTAAGGAACAAAATTAAAAATGGTTTATAATATAGGGACAAAAATGAAATTATCACAAGTTTATTATAAATAATATAATAAATTAAAGTTTCATAAATCATAAATTGTAAAGTTTGATTGTTTTGTTGATATTTAAGATTTATCTTAACTTTTGAATCGACTTAGGTATGAACGAATTGAATCGTAAGAATTGAATCATACATCATAAGATTTTAAACTCGGTAATGCGAATTTTCGTAAATGAGTCACACGCGATTATAGATGAGGAGGAGTCAAAGCATACTGCGTTGGTGGCAGATATTTCGGATATTGTAAGAGAGATCCACTTTGGGGTTAAATTTGCGATTTGGGTAGAGCGGGTGGGAAGATAGAGAAAGTATATGGGTGATTCTGCAATTTTCAAAATTGTTTCAGTCAGCGGGTGGATTCCCAGAAATTACAAATTGACCCCCACTGGATGCATTTCTGGTTTAAGGAACAAAAAAAAAAAGTATAATAATATAGGGACCAAAAATCGTAAAATTTGATCGATTAATTGATATTTAAGATTTATTTTAACATTTCAATCGACATAGATATGAGTTATGACTGAATTGAATCGCAAGATTTGAGTCGTAAATCATAAGATTTTGTGCTCGGTATTGCGAATTATCGTAACTGTGACGGATATTTTGGATAGTGAAAGAGAGATCCACTTTGGGGTCAAATTTGCAATTTGGGTGGAGCGGCTAGGAAGATGGAGTAAGTATAGGGGTGATTTTGCAATTTTCAGAAAACTGTTTTAGCCAGGGAGGTGGATTTTCGAAAATTACAAATTGACCTCCACTTGGGGGCATATCCGGTTTAAGGACAGATATTAAAAATGGTATATAATACATGGACCAAATCTGTAATTATCATAAGTTTATTAAAAATAATATAATAAATTAAAGTTTTCTTCAATCTTAAATCGTAAAATGTAATCGTTTTGTTAATATTTAAGATTTATTTTTACTTTTGAATCGACTTAGGTATGAACGAATTGAATTGTAAGA